CCACGACAAAGTGGAAAAACCCCAAAACACCGGCCCCCGCAGGCCAGCGGATACGTCGGGGAGCATCCACACGCTGAGTGTCCCAGCTGCAGCTGAGAGGTGTTCCTAGGTGTGAGCTTCCTCCCAGGAAAGAGGGTGCAAGCGGCATGTGTGCTTGCTGAAAAATATCCAAGAAACTATGGCACCTTAGAATCATAGAAACGTTTGGGTTGGAAAAGACCTTTCAGATCATGAAGTCCAACCGTTAACCCAGCGCTGCCAAGGCCACCACTAAACCATGTCCCCAAGCACCACATCTCCCCAGCTTTTAAATCCCTCCAGGGATGGGGACTCAGCCCCTGCCCTGGGCAGCCTGGGCCAGGGCCTGACAGCCCTTTGGGCGCCCGCCCCCCTGGCTCCAGCCTCCTTTCAGGGAGTTGCAGAGAGCGATGAGGGCTCCCCTCAGCCTCCTCCTCTCCAGGCTGAGCCCCCCCAGCTCCCCCAGCCGCTCCTCCCCAGCCTTGGGCTCCAGCCCCTTGAGTCCCTGCTGTTGCATTTTAAGACCAGTGGAAATCTCTCGCTGTTCTCTGCGCTGACTTGTGCATTGAATGAGATGGCACTTGAGTGAAAACAGTAAACGGGCCAGGACTTGCCATCTACACAAAACCAGCGTGATTCCATGAAAACATGATTATTCCCAAGATACCCTCTTCGGGTGGGTCACTTCACACATCTCAGCGGCTTGGATCCGGCCTCAGAAGGGTGCTTTCTTTGCCTTGTAGGGATGGCTGGCTTTGCCGCGGTGGTTGGCTACGGGCTGTACAGACTGAAGCACAGAGGTGACATGAAAATGTCGCTTCACCTGATTCACATGCGCGTGGCAGCCCAGGGCTTCGTCGTGGGAGCGATAACGTGCGGTACGTACCCAACGGGAGGCTGTCCTCAGCGCGGGCAAACCACGGAGAACCTCTCGCATCTCTTCTCCTAGTGGATAATACAGTGTGCGTGACATACCCTCGGGGTGGAAGTGTCCAGGCCGTTCTATTTGAGGATGTTTGTGCTCGTTACTGGCGTTTGCTCAGCCTTTTTAGAGTAACGTGATGTTTAAGTACACATATTTAATATTAAACTGCACTACCTTTGATAGTAGAAGTTTTGATTATCTTAGATGTGGGAAGTATGTGGGGTTCTGCAGGTGTTGAAATTAGAGGCAAAGAAAAAAAAAAAAGAATATCTCATGTTAATATTTTCCCTTGTAAATATGTTGCTGTTTCTGAATTTAATGCATTGGAAAATCAGATTGCATAGCCTATAGTATTCTTTTCAGGACTGGAGTTGTGTCCCTGAATGTACTGATTTGTACATACCAGGTCTCCTCTAAGTACTGCAGCTGCGTATGTGTGTAAACGTATATCCTGGGAAACACCGTTTGGCTATACTGTATTCCCAGAGAGTGCAACACAAAAGCTTGACTTTGGCTGCAAAGCAAACTGTAATTGGCTGGGGATCTGCATTTTCATATATAGTATATTTTCCTATCCGCTTTCTCTGTATATGAAGAATTTCATAGTGTTCACCACCGCTATTAAAAAAAAAAATACAGACAGCAGAAGAGGAAGGGAAGCATTATTCTCCTGCTGAGAATCTCTCTTACGGTTCAGATTTTGAAACCCATTATTTCCTATTTGTGCTCTTTAATATCTTTATAAATTACTTGGATGCAGGACTGGAAGGTTTGTTATCTAAGTTTGCCAATGACACAAAATTGGGAGGAGCCGTTGACACTCTGGAGGGCAGAGAGGCCCTGCAGAGGGATCTGGACAAATGAGAGAGCTGGGCAATCACCAACCGTATGGAGTTTAACAAGGGCAAGTGCCGGATTCTGCACCTGGGACAGGGCAACCCGGGATGTACCTACAGATTGGGGAAGGAGAGGCTGGAGAGCAGCCCCACGGAGAGGGATCTGGGGGTTCTGGTCAACGGCAAGTTGAACGTGAGCCAACAGTGAGCCCGGCAGCCGAGGGAACGGCAGGAAGCTATGCCAGGGGAGGCTTAGGTTGGACATTAGGGAAAGGTTCTTCACCCAGAGGGTGGTGGAGCACTGAACAGGCTCCCCCGGGACGTAGTCACGGCACCAAGCCTGACAATATTTAAGAAGCATTTGGACAATGCCCTCAGACATATGGTGTGAATTTTGGGGTTGTCCCATGCAGGGACAGGAGTTGGACTCGATGATCCTTGTGGGTCCCTTCCAACTCAGGACATCCTATGATTCTATTTAACCCAGCTTTCTAATTGCGCTTGTGTTTCTGTCTTGTAGGTGTGCTCTATTCAATGTTTCAGGAGTATGTGGTGAAGCCCAAGGAGTAATGGACAGATGACTGAAATCTCTCTCCTGGTGGTGGCCTGTGTCCTGCAGCTACAAACCTCATATCGAGGGGTTCTTGAGGAAAAAAAAATAATACATGGTATTAGAGAATTGCCCTATATCTATTTGGTGTATGGTATGCTGTCTTGAAGCTGGCAGCCTAAATGATTGCGTGCTGGGGGTGTGGGTATCGGGGTCTGGTTCTTTCTGATTGACGCTACCTTATCCCGGTTTTTAGGGGATATAGTGGAGCACAATCCCTTTATCTTCCCCTCGACTGTCAACTCAGTCTTAAACTTGGTGACTTCTTTTTGCTGCCATTGCCCAAAATGACAAAGTCTGAAGTAGCTTCTGTTAGGCCTCAGGCAGAACGTGGAGGCCACGTCTGTAGGAGTGTTGTGAGTGCTTCGCTGTCATTTTCTATCCTGTATATTTGTCAGCCTCCAGCTTTGTAATTTAGAAGCTTCCAGTAGTGCTAAATGACTCCTAAAATATTGAGAGAGAGATATAAACATCTATTTTTTTATTTAAGGCGTAAGTATTTGGTATGTTGCAGCTATTTAAATGTTGTATTTATTCATTGTTAATGAAGACACTGGCTCCCTATTTTTACTATAGATTTTCAGACTCTTGGATTGCTGCATTTTTTAACTTTATTTACAGTGTTCTTCTGAATAACATTTAAATGTAACATTTAAAATACATATTGTGGAAACTAAACCTTGATTTGGTGTTCTAATGCTTTTAAAGTATATGATCTGGCTCTGATTTCTGCGGTATCATTCCCTATAGACATTTTAAGACATTTAAATCTGAAGAGCCCCCATCATCCTCGATGAGGTGTTAAAACCCTTCTCTGTAAATTGCCAATGCTATTTTACACTCGAACCCCTTGTATCTCCAACAGCAGTTACAAAAATAAATGTGTTGATAAAGCCAATTTGTAAAAAAAACTCATTTTCTCCTATTAGCTTACATTCCATGGTGACAGTATGATGTCTCTTTGTAATAAATACCGCAGGGTACATGCTGCACCTCTGTCTGTGACATTGTACAGAGCAGTGGGAGATGAAATATGAATAAACGTGTGAGCACTGGAGATGACAAGTGTTTGGCTATGGATTTGTTGGGGAGGCTCCCCCTCCGCATGCAGCCTCCTGCGGAGGGATGGGGTGAGCTTATATACGTGAATAAAAATCACCTGAGAGGCTGCGATGCTACAGGGAAGGGCATTCCGGGCCGTTACAATCCTGCCGCCCTTGACTGCTGGCTCTCGGAGGTCTCCCTCACCGGGGTGGAGCTGGGGAGGGCGTGAGGAGACGCCGCTCCACCGCGCAGAAGCCTTTCCCCGTAACTGCCCTCCTCCTCCCCAGCGTGGGGCGGGAGCGGGAGCAGCTCCGTCCCTGTCACCGCCGGAGGCGCCGGGCTTTCTGCGGGCAGGGCAGGCCCTGCCGCCGGGGAGCGGGCGGCGGAGCGGGGCCATCATGGCGGCCGGCTGAGGGGAAGGCCGCCAGCCC